ATCTCTTTCTGTCACCCAGGCTGGACTACAGTGGCACAATCTCAGCTCACTGCAACCTCCGTGTTCTGGGTTCAAGTGATTCTCCTGCCCCAGCATCCTGAGTAGCTGGGATTATAGGTGTCTGCCACCACGCCCAGCTAATTTTTGTATTTTTAGTAGAGACAGGGTTTCACCATGTTGGCCAGGCTGGTCTTGAACTCCTGACCTTGTGATCCACCCGCCTCGGCCTCCCAAAGTGCTGGGATTACAGGCGTGAGCCACTGGGCCCATCCTGGGACCTCATTTCTATATGTATATATATATTTTGAGACAGAGTCTTGCTCTGTCGCCCGGTGGGGGGGGGTGCAGTGGTGTGATCTCAGCTCACTATAGCCTCCACCTCCTGGGTTCAAATGATTCTCCTGCCTCAGCCTTCTGAGTAGCTGGAATTATAGATCCCCACTACCATGCCTGGCTAATTTTTTGTATTTTTAGCAGGGATGAGATTTCACCATGTTGGCCAGGCTGGTTTCAAACTCCAGACCTCATGATCCGCCCGCCTCAGCCTCCCAAAGTGCTGGGATTACAAGCGTGAGCGACCGCACCCAGGCCTAATTTCTATATTTTAATGTTACAGGAAAGTCTCTTTATGTGAAGAGGCTGCATGAGAAAATGAAGATGCAGTTACACAGGGAAAATGTGCCTCTGAAAACCATTCGACTGATCGACCCTCAGGTGGATGAGAGCCAAGTCCTGGGCGCCCTCCTGCCCTTCCTGGATGTGCAGTATCAGAAGGTCCCCATGCTCTTTCACCTGGACGTGACCTCCTCGGTAAGGGCCCTCGAGTGCCAGCAGTGGCCACATCAGGAAAGACATAGTCCCTCACCTTATAGAGAATTCCTTCTTTCCACACGCACAGTCCTATGAGGGAATGTGGTGTAAAAAGCGTGTTGTCAGGCAGTTTCCTCCTTGTGTGAATGTCTTGGTGTGCGCTTACGCCAACCTGGGCATAGCGTCTGCTGCACACACAGGCTTCGTGCTACACGCTGTTGCTCCTGGGCCGCGAACCTGCGGTGCGTGTGGCTGTACTGAATACCAGAGGCCATTGTAAAACGGCGTGTTTGTGTATCTGAGGACAGAAAAGGCACAGGCAAATCGCAGGATCCTGTGGAACTGCCCTCGGAGTCGTGGGTCTTGCCGGCTGAAACGTTGATGCTGGTCGTCAAGATCTCGTGACAAAGAGCAAACTGAGAGGGGTTTTTGGAGTTGGGAGAGCTCACCGGCTGTGGTGTGTTTATGTCTCGTGCTGTTCTGTCTTTAGGTGCAGACTGGAATTTGGGTGTTTCTTTTCAAGCTTCTCATTTTACAATACCTAATGGATATAAATGGGAAAATGTGGCTTCGGAGCCCCTGCCATTTGTACATCATTGAAATCCTGGAAAGGAGGACTTCAGCGCCGTCCAGGAGGCCTTCAGTGCTGGTCGGTACCGTGGGGTGTTTTCACATGGTGTCGGAGGGTCTTGGGATCCTTCCAGTCTTAATGAAGTAGAGCGATGTGTTTAGGTGACTCCACACCTTTGCCTTCCTTACAGCAGCAGCTGAGTGCAGTGTTAGTAAAGAAAAGCCCAGCTGTTTTTTGTTTTTTTTTTTTTTTTTT